AACAGGTTTAACTCATTTCCTACTGCACAAGTGTGCATAGAGTTGCTGAGTACATTTCGAATCTTCTCTCCATTATTCTAAACCAATGAGGTTAAGCCAGGCTGTTCGATTTTGTCATTCTTCTTTAACTTTGTCATCGATGACGTTCTCAAGACAGCCCTGATGAAGATAATTGATGGTGATGTAGACCTGTTACCAAACGAAATATTTTGTGATCTCGAGAATACAAATGACATCGTTTTAATATGCAACATACAGGCTACCCGAATCACACTAATCAGTTAGCGGTCAGCGTCTATAAGTATGTTGTGCTTCGTACTATCAAGGTTCAGTATGCCTCTGCAAGATTGGCGGGAACCTGTGCCTGCAATCACCCTTGATGGTGAATTGTTGAAAATTGTTAACATGTTTGTATGCCTGGTTGGTTGTTTGAGTTCTGGTCGAGGTTTGATTGGTGAAGTTTCCAACCGGATATGGAAAGTCAGAGCGACACCTGCCAATTTGTATCACTTGAGGTGCTGTTATGATGTTAACCTTGTTGTAAAAGGTCAGGTATGCGACTCATGGTGTAAGTAGTTCTGCTCTACACCTATGAAACCGGGCGTATTTGAGCTGAGGATGTCTGACGACTCTGCGTTGTCTCCTTAGGATTGCTTGCACTTGGGGGGAAACACCATTTTATTCTGAGGTGAGGTGGCATGTATTTGAGTGTAGTCATCTTGAAACACCGGCTTTGCTGTTAAGAATGTTATATCAGAAGCTCTGAAACCCCTGATTGTTCATTTGCTTTTTGATTGGTTGAAAGAAGCAGAGACATGGCTAGTGCATGACAGAGCACCGTTATTTAAAGGATAGTTATGTTGGGTTACTATCTGTAGGTGCCTGACAACTTCCTGAATGGGGTCCAAGAGGTCATGCAACTCAATGATGATCATGCTCCAACTTTCTGGAAGCAAAAAATTCAAAACCTCTCTCTCTCTCCCTGGAAGTAAGAAGAAAATAGTGAATACTTCTTTGGATGAATCTTGTAAACTTCTGTAACAATCCATTTCCATTTTCACTTCCTTCTTCTTTGTCTTCATAATGTTCCTTGATTATTTTGTATAGTGCATCTCTTGGTGCAGATGTTGTACTAAGTTTTCGTTCTACCTGAAAAATTAATAATAACAGATGGTTATACACATACTATTACTACGAAGCTGTAGGTGCCTTTTTTTAAATCGTTATTCGAATATTGACTTAGGGAGGAGGGAAACATTGCTAACAAACTGAAGGACATTTAAGTACATGCTTTCATCTGAGGCATCAAGCGTATTAACAACATGGCAACTAAATCTTAGGTATAAGGTGGTTTTGTTTTAAATTTCGATTACTAAAACTGAAATTTTAAGATTTACTTTTTTGGTCACCTGAAATCTCAATAGAAGCCCTATGTGGTAATTTATTTGGTTGTGGCTAGCAGAAGAATCTAGAAACCGCGTTTCTTTCTATTTGGGACTCGTCACCTATATGTACCTGAACCCCAGTGATTGATGTTGTTCCCACTTAGACTTGAGGCATTTGTATAGGAGCCCATATACCAACAGAGATCGAAGAATTCGATTTTTCGCTGCATGGTTTTATTTCTTTTATTATATACACAGCCCAAAAATTTTTAACTGATGCGATCTAATGCACACAAGGAATAATAGTGAAAACTCTTAGTTTTATTGTGTTCTCTGAGCTGGATTGTTCAGTCATGGAGCTTTCATTATCTTTCTAGACAACATCATCACCACTAACTTCAGTATGAAGTGAGTTGTCAATATATCTCCGTGAGTGACTTAGTAACTTGTCGTGACGAACTATCTGGTTTGTGGTTGGTTGTTTCCTTTCATTGTTGTATGATTGACTGGTTGCATAGATTTTTGTTGTTGGCTGTTCCTCTGCTTCACCTCTAACCTTTCTGTGGTTTATCATTTTAACTGATTGGTTGATGGATTGGGTCTATGTGTATGTCTATACATTTATTGATTGCTGGCTGACTGATTGAGGTGAATGTCAGGCTGATAGGAATTCTCTGATATTCTTTGTGTTTCCTCTCTCCATCTGAGATTTTTACATTGGGAAAATTCAATTCATGTCCATAGTTGTTATCCACGTGGATTGAGCGGCGAGTGATGAAATGTCGTGTGTGATGTTTAATAGTTATTTGGTGTTCATGTAGATGGAGGTGAAGAGGGTGACCAGTTTGTCGAATGTAGTGTTGACCATCGTTATTGGAGTTGATTTTGTAAATGATATGTGGTTTGTCTTCTTTGGTTGTTGGGTCGTTTGGTGTGGATAATAGTGTTAGTAGGGAATTTGTTGGTTTATGAGTGGCCAGACCAATTGGAAGTGATCTGAGTAATGTTGTTGTGATTTCTGATATATTCTGTATGTATGGTAGGGTGATGCGTTTGTTGATTTGTGTCGATGTCTTTATAGTTGATGTTGTTGGGGATAAGGATCTTGTGATAAAGTTTCGTGAGTAGTCGTTGTTGGTTAGGATAGACATCAAGTAATTTTGTTTGTTTCTCCATGAAGTTGTTGTATTGCAGTGTGTTGTTGCTGTTCTGAATAGAGTCTGTATACAACTAGTTTTGTGTGTTGTTGAGTTGTTGGTACTGTAGTTGAGGATTTGATCAGCGTGTGTTGGTTTCCTGTACACTTGAATTTCCAGCCTTTCAGTATTCGTTCTACTGACTAAAACATCTTACCGTACATGTAAAACTTGGCCAGTGAGGTGGATTGTAATTACATTTTAATCTGTTTATTAGAAGTGTTAGATAGTGAAACAGTATGATTTAGTGGATAACGTTTTGGATACAATTTATTGTCCATATTCACAACTTTGAGACAGTGTTTATATATTCCTAATTTTCTCTACTTGTTTGCGATGACAAGGGTAGTAGAATTTTCCATATATCTGTGACAGGTGCAGAATCAAACTCGCTTAGAAACAAGCTATGTAGGTTAGAAGATCCTATTGATGCAATTAAGCAGAGTAACTTAGTTTATTGAATTCCTTGCAATGATTGTGAGCTCAAATACATAGGTGAAAGTAGTTGACCAGGGTCAATTAGGCTATCCGAGCACAAAACTTTAGCTAAGTCAAGATTAGTAGATCCTAATAAGATAAGAAATTTAGAGAAAAACTTAGTTGTAGCTATCCATGCAACTGCACACAAATGGGCGAATGTATTAAAAACTTAGTCGGATGAAGGGAGAAATTGATAACCTTATCTTTGTTGATCGAATCAACACCAAATACACACAGTAGACGGAAATGATTCTGCACCTCGCCCACATATATATATATATATATATATATATATATATATGGAAAATTCTACTACCCTTGTCACGAAAAAGGAGCGATATTTGGATTACATAAATTCTGTCTCAAAGTTGTGAGTATGGACAATGAATTGTGTCCGAAATGTTATCCAGTAAATCATACTGCTTCAGTCTGTGACATTTCTAACAAACAGACTAAAATGGAATCAGATTGATATGATCTCGTAAGAGATTCTATATTTTTCTTGTGTCTATTTGATGCTCTAGAATCGGAAAAGCAAGACAGGCGTTCATTAGCCTGAAACCAGTAAGGAGATCTTCTGCACTCAGCATTCGGAGCAAGATACGGATTTTCAACACCAACGTCAAGTCAGTGCTTCTGTATGGCTCAGAGACTTGGCGCGTCACGAAAGGGATTTCCAATAAACTACAGACATTCATCAACAACTGCTTACGCTGGCTCGCTACTGAAGATCAGATGGCCAGAATAGTCAGAATAAGCAACAAGGAGCTCTGGGAACGAACCAACCAAGAACCTATCACCCAACGAATATGCAGAAGGAAATGGAGATGGATTGGACATGCACTGAGAAGGCCGACTGGGGACATCACGTGTCAGGCCAGTTGCTCGAGTGGAATCCCCATGGGAAGCGACGAGTTGGACGTCCGAGGGTGACATGGAGGAGGTCGTGTGAGGAAGAAAGGAGAGCTTCTGGGCTGTCGTGGAACCAGGTTGAAAAGATCTCAGAGAACAGAGTAGAATGGAGATGTGCTACTGAAGCCCTATGTTCCACTAGGAACCCAAGGGACTAATAATAATAATTTGATGCTCTGCTCTACGATGTTCATGATTCATTTCTTAACACCACTTATATCACTTTGTAATGCTATTGCCTATCTCTTAGCATAGTTCAGTTGAATGATTGCAGCTCCTCAGTTCACTTGATAGAATGTTGAACCAGTAATGAGAGTGCTACTACTTCAAATCGGATGATATTGGGTCTTTTTCTCCAACTTTCATCAAATATGTGTACATTTGATGATTCATTTAACATCATCAATATTAGCATAGGACCGGGTATTACTACGTATAACAGTCCAAGTTGCTACACCTCATATCAGCACACCAAGTAACAAAGTAATGAGATTACAGATGAAGTAAAAATGAAAAATAAGTTAGAATCAGTAGACAGTAGTAGAAGAAAGGAAGGATGAACGAGAAGATGCTAAATTCAGTATAGTCGTTCAGATAGGAATAATGTCTGGATATATCTAAGCCATTGTGACTGATTCTAAGCCATATCAGCAAGACTCTTCAATCACTGATTCCTTTCGTCTCGGAGACCCCAGTCAAGCAGTTTTTCATTCCCCCCCTCCTCACACGACTCAGACTAATTGTCAGAGGCTTCATGCACTTATATCATTCATATCTTAGTCTGACCTCCCCGAACCTTTTACCAGCCTAAATATTGTGTGATGAGATAAAAAGTGACTAGGCATGCATAACACATGCTCTAGGCATGTCTCAGTTGATAAGGGTTCATAGTTGCATCATTTATAGACCAAAGCCATCTATACTGTAAATATGAATCGATTACTTTTTACTAAATAATAATGATATAATTTATTTCATATATATCTTCTTCATTCATATGTATACTCTTCTTTTCTTTTTATAATAGGCATTGGCTGGAACAGTAGCCACAGATGAAATGAACATTATTACCGGTGCTTTAGCTTTAACCACTAAAACGGTTGCAGATGTTATGACTCCATTATCTGATGCTTTCATGTTATCATATTCAGCAATTTTAGACTTTCATACAATGAATGAAATCTTTTCACATGGTTATACACGAATACCTGTTTATGAAAATGATCGACAAAATATTCGAGCTGTTTTAAATGTAAAAGATTTAGCCTTTATTAATACAGAGGATAAAGTTCCAGTATCTACAGTATGCGATTTTTATAATCGTTCAATTATTATTGTATTGGATACAACTAATTTGGGGATTATGCTTAAAGAATTTCGTCAAGGTGATTTTTATTTCTTATTCATTTAAATATACTAGATGATAATTGAAGGTGAAATAAAAATTTGAACTGTAGTCGAATACGAATCAGTGACCATTGAGTTTCTGATTCGATGCTGTACCAACTGGAATGAGCTAAGAAGTTTGACTATTGATTAGATTTTTATTTCATTTTCAATCATCAAGCGTTTTATCCGACTATTATATCGCTTGATCGCATTCACATTTATTTATTCCTTTTATTTTTCAAGTTGTTATTCATCGAAGACTGACATCAGTTGGAGGAACAAAGGAAACCTGGGAGCACTGGACAGCTGTTTCGTCCTAGTATGGGACTCCTCAGCAGTGCGCACCCACGACCCCACCAGCAGGGATCGAACCCGCGACCTTCAGGTTCCACGACCAGCGCGTTACCATTGAGCCACTGATGCCATACCAGGACGAAACAGCTGTCCAGTGCTCCCAGGTTTCCTTTGTTCCTCCAACTGATGTCAGTCTTCGATGAATAACAACTTGAAATATTTCCAAATCTCCACAACCCCCTTTTATTTTTATTTGTTTGTGTGAATTTGTCAAGTTTTCTTGAAAAATGAATTTTTAAAAGGCGGGAGCGTTTTTTATTTGAAAACTCATTGATAGATAGATGAACAAAATCAATGAAAAAAACCTCGCATACAAGTGTGTTGATTCAACTTAACACACTTCACAGGACCATTCAAAGAACAGATGGGATCAAATAAGAATGATATCACTGTCGACAAAGTTGCACAAGGGGATATGCAATTTAAAGATAGAGATTAGTGGAAATATAAAAAATTTAAGGAGACATCAAAGAGTGAGTACGTCTGGGTTATCATGACCGATTTTTGGCCATATTTCTAGGAGTCTTGGGAACCCTAGACTACATCACCCAACATGCCTCACACTAATAGTCAAAGACTTCATCGACTGATACTACATCTCATTGTATGCATACTTTTAATTTAAGTGTTTAAGACAGTTCTGTTAGCTGAACTGAAATTGGAATCTAATAACCACTTGAGTTCTGTAGCTTATTCAGCAGAGTACTGGGATGATAAATATAAGTTGGTTGGTTTGTATTCTTTTCATGGTAATCGTTATTCCTTTAGCTAGAAGACGACGTTTTTCTGATGTATTTGCGCGATATATTTCGAACAATCTGACCACACATTCACTTGTCGATTCAAGATACATATTAAACCGAGGAGTGGAGAGGACAAATATAACAATTAAGATAAACAGGGGATTCATGTTAAGAAAGATGAGAACAAACAGGACAAAGAGTCACATAGTTCATCCTTATCTTGGTAAGTAAAACTAAGCTTACGAAGCAAGGTGGTGTAGTGTACACGGACAAATTGTTTTTGTACACATAAAGGCGGTTTCAATTTGTGTATGGCCATGGCTTCTTTCGATGTAAATTCTTTATTCATTAACGTGCCTTTGTCCAAGACTATTCTCTGTGATTATGTATCTTCTAGAAAGCTCCTGTTTCCTATTACTCCAGCTTTTCTGACCGAGCTATTAATACTGTGTACCGATAAAATCCACTTCAAATTTGAAGGTGAACGCTTTTAACAAGTTGACGGTAGTCCCTTAGGACCATTACTAGCTGATATTTATAGGTCATATATCGAAAATCTGACTAGTGATCTCATCGCTAAAGTTTCTCTTCACAAGATATATCTTGATGACATCACAGTGATTTGTGAGAGGCATGAGGATATGGCTTGTCTACTAAAAAGATTTAACACCGTACAAATTCACATCAACTCGAATTGTGAGAAGGAGAATAATAATCATCTGCCATTCATAGATATACTCCTAAGTCGACGAGAAGATAGTCCAATAAAACGGTTAGTTTATAGAAAGCTTACGTGGAGAGGACAACACCAGGATTTTCACATTTTTTGTCCAATCCAATATTAGGCGAGGTTTAGTAAAATGCCTGTTTAATAGGATCTGTCATATCAGTACATCAGATACGATGGATGAAACTATCAAATTACTGGCCAAAACATTTATGGAAAATGGATATCCGCTGAAGTTTATAAACCGCTGTAGAGGTCAAATAGCACCGAAGCCAACTCTAAACACGGTTCCTAAGAAGAGCGTCCATATCACTCTACCATACATAGGAGAGTTGAATAGTATCATTTTGAGATGTAGGCTGACACCAGCCATTAAGAAAACATATTACACAGCTAGTCTTATCATTTTTGGAAAAGTCAAACACCTGCTTCACTAAAAACCTAAACATTGAATCAGTGATTACATCACATCCCATTGTGTTTACCAATTTACATGTGTGTGTATGTGTGTGATCATACATCCATAGGGAGGAGTAATCGAGTCATGCAGTTGTGGGTGAGAGAACATGTACCTAAATTGCTTAAAAAGCAAATGGAATGTGAAACCGTGATAAACGCTGATGGGAGACGATCCTCTTCATCTATAACTAAACATATCATAGAAATAGGTCACAAAATTAATGTTCCAACAGTCATGGAGGTATACTGAGATTTGGGGAAACCATAGTCATACACAAATTGAAACCGCCTGTATATGTACAAAAACAACTTGTCCGTGTACACTACACCCACCTTGCTTGATAAAATTTGTTTTACTTACCAAGATAAGGATGAACTATGTGACTCTTTGTCCTATTTGTTCTCATCTTTCCTAATTTTAATCTCGATAACTCTATTAGAAGACGAAGATTATCTGAAAAATATGATATATTTGTGCAATACATTTCAAACAATCTGATGCCGCACACATTTACTTGTCAAGTCAATTTATATATGAAAATGAAAGGTCAAATATAGTGAATATGAAAAGGTTGTGACACTAGTCTTGGTAATATATAATCAGATAAGGATTACCAAGGTAAATTAAGTGAAACAACAAATTGTTTTTGTACGCACAGCAGGGGTTTAAGTTTATGAATGGCTAACGCTTCGGTAAACTTCAGTATGCACCCCTGATTATTCGTGTATAATATCTTGAAGGCTGTTCTCATATTAACCCTGTGATTCACTTCAATGATGTATATTTTGCTATAAATAACGAATGGATGTTTGTCACCTGCACTTATCAATATTTGTGTGTTGAACTGTTTTTCTAGCCATTTCGGTATGTGATCGGATTATTCGAAATGTATTGCGTAAATACATCACATTTTTCAGATAATCTTTGTCTTCTAATAGCGTTATCGAAATTTATTGAGGGGACTAATTGTTTCAAATAGCAATTATACTCCCCTGCTTATCTTAATTGTTGCATTTGTTCTCGTCACTCTTTGGTTTAATATGTATCTTGAGTTGACAAGTAAAATGTGTGGTCGGATTGTTTGAAATGTATTGCTCAAATGGATAACATATTGTTTAGATAAACTTCGTCCTTTAATTACGCTATTGAAATTCATAAAATGGACTAACTGTTTTACATTCTTGTAACTTAATAGGCCAACAGTTAATTAGAATAGAATGTCATTTAGTGAACTGATTCCACTGCTGTTACGTTTTGACCGTAATGTCATATCGAACTGCATATATTTACCGTTTTCAATGCTACTGACTTGAACAGGACAAATTTATTTCATAATAATAATGATAATAATAGTGATCGCTTTATTCCAAACATTATGTATAATAAAGCCATTGATAGAACAATGGTTATTACATCTGAATGACGGTCATAATAACAGTGTTCAAAGCAACAATATGAAATAGCCAACCATAATAAGCAATTCAAATGGAGCGTAAGTTTGCTGTTGGTGGTTTATTCAACTATTACAGGAATGTGTAACTCAAGCAAAATAAACGAAGGATATATATATATATATATATATATATATATATATATATATATATATATATATATATATATATATATATATATATATATATATATATATGATGTGCTTCCATATGTTATATTATTATTTGTCTTTCGGGCTCCAAATGAAACGTAGGGTTTTAATAGCATGTCTCCATTTCACTCTGTTCTCTGTAGTCTTTTCAACCTGGCTCCACGACTGCCCATTTTTTCCTCACATTATCTCCTCCATGTCACCTTTGACTCCCTAAATAATCGTTTCCCGTTCGGGTTCCACTCGATGACCTGGCCAGGCGCGTGATGTCCCTGAATGGTCTTCTCAGTGTATACTCAATCCATCTCTACTTTCTTCTGCATATTTGTTGGGCGACGGGTTCTTGGTTGGTTCGTTGCCAGCAAGCCAGAGTTCCTCCTTGCTTATTATTCTGGCCACCTGATCTGATCTTCAGTATTGAGCAAGCGTAAGCGGCAGCTATTGATGCTGTATATCTGTAGTTTGTTGGAAATGCTTTTCATAACTCACCAAGTCTCTCAACCATCACATGGAAGCACTGGCTTAACTGACATGGATGTTGAAAATCCGAATCTTGTTCTTTATGCTGTGTGCAGTGCAGTGCATTAGGTCTCCACACTGATTTCATATTGTTGAAGGTCTGTTTGGCTATCTTTCCGATTGTATCGTCGACACCTTCATCTGTGCCTCTGCCGTCTGTACTTGAAACGATGCTGCCTAGGTAGGTAAGTGGAAGAGACAACTTCATTTAGATTTCTCCCGTTGATGGTGATTGGTGCTTGTTGTTGTTGGTCGTGTATCTTCATCACCTCTGTCTTGCTTACTTTCTTCTGAAGGAAGTCTCGTCTTCGCTTCCTCTTCTGACAACTTGTTGGTTTTCACGGAGATCCATTCCTTGTCGTGTTTCTTCTTCCTTCTTAATACGGTTATGCAGGTTTCCTTCCACGTCGCTTTCACAGAGTTCCAGTGTTCTTTCATGCAGGTTTCTTCAGGGATATTGCCTAATGTCTCCGAATTTTTTCTTTCTAGCTGACGTGAAGATGTCATTTATAGTTTCGTCCTTCAGTTTCTGTTCTGGGTGTTGAACTTGAACCGTGGTCTATCATCACCAACTTCTTTGAAGGCTTTCA